TATATATATATATATATATATATAAACTTACATAAATCATAAAGTAAAGCCCAGAACAAATCACACTTCGTGCACCCCCAAGTCGCAACCTCCAGCCCGTCGCCTTCGCCACAGTCACCATCGTCATAGCCATCGTCAAGGATCACTTGAAATCCTCACACCACCACCTCCTCTAAAATTTTTGGAGTATTAATCTCATCTTTATGTTGTTGAAATACATTTATGAAAGAGTAAGATGTCTGAAATAAATGAAGAAGAAGTATATTGGGAGGCATTGGACTCCACAGGATGAGAGATGGGAGAAATCAATTTGTTCTAATGTCGACTCAAATAAATATCCCCTTAGTGATGACAATACTGATGATTTTCTAGTTATTGTCAACTTTTCAGCCTTTTTTAGAAATTAAATATAGATAAGTAGGGTTCAAAAAAAAGAAATAATTTGAAGTTGAACTTAATATTATATGATACATTTATGCATTTTTTATATTTAATAATTTTTTGCTCATGTAATATTTATATATCAATTATATTTCATGCAATTTATCACCAAACACTTTATGTCTAGTGCAATTTTTTGTTTCATATGTCATTGTGTTACTTCATAGTTCAATAGAAAGATAATATGTCATCTTTTAACATATTATTTAGGTATTATATAAAAATTTACTTTTAACATTTATTTGCACTTAACGCAATATTTTATTTTGAGGTTTACGCCTCAAAACGCCTTGAGGCTTACGGCTCGCCTCATGAACAAAAAAAGCCTCAATGCCTATTTGCACAATTTTAAACATTGACTAGGATTATGTAATTTTTATCTTATGGTGTGATTTGGGCCCTTTCCGAAGAGCTAAATTTACAATATCATAATCTCTTCTAAAGAAGTAGCTTTTACACTCTCATTTATTGCAAAATGTAATGTTGTCTATCCTGACTAATAAGATTTCAAAAGTACAATATTCTTAGTTCGCAAAATCAAATAAACTTAACATTTTATCCCCTAAAATCATCCTTTGTTTTATTATTGTCTAATTTTTTTTTCAACTTGCCTCTGCAATGCAAGGATCATCACTTTGTCATCTTGCTAATTTGTTAAAATATGTTTATGCTTACAATCTTTTTTAAAAAAAAAAAAAAAATTTGTATGTAACATTTTTGTTTTTATTTTTATTTTTAAATATGTATGGAACATGCAATTAGAGAACAATGCCAATGTATTAAAATGTTAAACTGGAGTAGAGTCTGGAGTAGTATATGAAACATATATAGCAATTTGAAGGGAAATTGACCATTGCCTCTCCTAGAAAGTTGTAATTAGAGAAGCCGTATCAATAGTGGATGCAAAAGATGTTGGAAACTTTGATAACAAGTAGGAAGACTTCGAAGTAACTCAACAACCGCAAGAAAGCCCGACTAGGAGAGTCAACCCTAAAGAAAGCACCAACGTTGTGCTCCCAAAGTTTGCTTATCCCTTATTGAATGATCTATGCATTCCGAGGTATAATAGAGGAATGGAAATGTAGACAAAAGCCAAAAAGCAAGAAAAACTTCAAGTAAATCAAAGGAATGGTTATATTAATGAAAAGGAAGAGTTATATGATATAAATAGGGGATTTACTTTCCAAACATTATGTCAGCTAAACCGCTCATAATATTTATAGAATCATTTAGTCATTGGGGAATCAATTGCCAAAAAAAAGTATCTCATTTAAACTCAAAATAACAATACTTAAGAACTCTTCAAAAATTCCTCCTTATGTAAGTCATTTATTGCTATTAACATGAAATTAAAAGTGGTTGGTGTGATGAAAGGTGATAATAAGGCATTGCTATTTCATAATTGCTAGTTCATAATTGCAAATTCATTCTTATCTAATTCATTAAAGAAAGTTTGCCTTGAGTTTAACATTTGATGGAGCATCCCCCAACATTGTCCATTGATTCTCATGGATGGTTAACACTCAATCCAGAAGTGTAGATACCTCTTTGGTACTTAAATTTGAGAATATATAAACCTATAATATTACCATATTTAATGCAGCTCAAAAAGATTGAAAAAGGGTTATTCTTAATTAAAAGGAAATTCTACATAAGATAACAAAGAACTCATTCACTTGAAATTATGTGATTTGCTCTTTTATTAAATTGGGTAATAACTCATCAAAAAATGACTCACTTATTAGTTTGGGTGAACGAGCCACCATGCTTTTGGGATGAGTGAATTCATGCTCATCTCTTCTAATGTTTCCTTCTTGAAATAAAATCCCTCTATCCATGTACTTGTAATTCTTTTTTTTTTTTTATCTACATTAGATTGGTATAAGGGGAGGTTTCTCGTTGTTTTGTCTTAAGAATTGATCATTTACAAATGTCTATTAACTTGATGACATACTTGTCAACGGAAAATAACGCACCATGCAGCAAAGTTCCCCATGGAACCATGAAGTATAGCACATGGCGTGACACACAGATTTTGAACACGGCGCAAAATAAAAAAAAATTATAAAAAAAATAAGCATATTCATTAAATTGAGGAAGATTGAAATATGGTTTTGTCAAAGATAATTTACACAAACACAAATTTAAACAATCTAAGCAAATAATTGTGGCTAAATAAATTTTGGTAAATCAAGAATGGATTCCAACGAAATTTAATTTTGTAAACCAAGAACATATTTTGACAAAAATGATTCCAGCAAAATGATTTAAACAAAATGATTCCAACAACTTAGATTTCAGGAAAAGGGATTCCGGTAAAATGATTTCAGCTAAAGAATTTCAGCAAAAAATATTTTAGCAAATCTAGACAAACAAGGAGGGCCGGGCGGAAGGAATACCCAGACGAACAAGGAGTGACGAAAGGAAGGAAAACCCAAATGAACATGCTCCATAATCGCATGGAGGCAGTATTCATGCAGAATTGCTTGAATAGCGCTTAATCTAGTGCGGAATCGCGGAATCAGTCGTCCGTGAGGGTTCGTGGCTTCAATCGGGTGTGAGGGATTGCTCGTGGCTTCGATTGGTGGTGAGGGATGGTTCACTTCTTCGATCAGGGTGAGGGAGCGCTCGTGACTTCAGTTGCTGATGGATCGGGCTTCTTAGGGTTGGGACTTGAGGTTTTTTAGGTTTAGTTAATAAATGAATAAGTAATAATATAAATTTATCATTATATTATTTATAAATTACAATTCTATAAATATTTAAAAATTATATAACCTAAAATTCAAATTACATGCATCGTGTGCCATTGCTCACATATGGCCAAATAGCGCGTGTCAACTTGAACATGGTGTTTGCGCCATGCCAATAGAGCTGTAGGTACGCCATGCTCCATGTGCGTCATTGACAAGTATGCTTGATGAGGTGCTTTGCTAGAGTTCAACTGGAGTTCTATTTTCTTCTTTCAACTATTGCTTGGATATTAACTGTAATTTTCAAACTTTACTTACCTACCAATTGCCTCATTAACTGACTTTCCTTACTATCAACTTTCCCACCAATTATCACGTCATATAACTTTCCATCTATGTCTGATTACTTGGATTTAGCATCTTTTATGTTCTCATCAACATCATCGAAAGGTCTATAAATACTAGCCAAAGGAGGGCCTTACGGCGATCCTATTGCTTTGTCATTCATCTTCTTCCTTAGCTATGCATTAAAAATTTCTCATTTTTATGGCTGAGATAAAGCGTCCTACCAACTTCAAACATGAGGAGCCCTTAGATCGATATCTTGTTTCTTTCATATTGAAAAGATTTATGAAGGCAAAACTTCAAAAAAAAATAAATATATGGTGATACAGCTTGTTCTCAAGGTACCTTTCAAGAAATTAAAATTGGTGCCAGGCTCAACCTAGGCTATGTTGGTTGTGTAGTACACATTTTTTTTCTTTTTGTTAATTGGCGGGTCATTTTAAGAAATAATTTATGACTATATCAATCCCTCTTCATACCTCAAATTGGCGATAATGTAATGCATTAGATTTTGCCTTTCCTTGACCTTTTAGTCGCTGAACAACAGGTTTAAACCTTTTGACTCCTGTTCCAACAAGCCTGTTAAATTTGTTTGTTCATTTAACTCAGTAGAAGTAAATCAATTCGAAATAACTTTTAGTGATTTAAATATATTTTTTATAATAGATGTTAATGAAAATTCACACATTACTCCTTGTTTTAGCTTCAGTTGTTGAACAGTTAACTTTTCTATGAACATCATAACTTACTATTATTACGCTCACCAGGCTTTATCTTAGTTTTCTTTTGATTTGAAATATATTTTTTACAGTAGATTATAAGGGAAATTAAAATGTCTCTCCTAAGCTGCAATTGTTGAACAGTTGAACTGTTGCCCTTTCTATGCTAATATTGGTAACTATTATTTATGCTCAATAGGGTTTATATGCACCTTCTTATAAATCTTCTTTATATTTGTCCTTATGTATTTGCCAAAATTGCTAATTGTGTTTATTTGGACTAGCCTCATGTATCTAGAAAACAAAGAGTTTTTATTTTGCTAGACCTTTTTCGCTGTGATTTTCTTTCTTTGTGTGTTATCTTTAACACGATCATTGTCATCATCCTTATTCCTACTATTTGGGTTGGATTTATGATTCTCATTTTTTATTAATTCTTGTTGAGGAGTACCGCCTAAGAAGTTAAACTTATTTTTATAAAGTTCTAGTTAATTGTGACCTGTTTATTAATTTCTAAAATTCATATTGTAAAATTTAATTTTCCTCAATTTGCTCTATGGAGACTTCACCCAATGTGGCAAAGTTATCTTGGCCCATAGACATTGCTCCTTCATTGTTATAATAGTTTTTAATGGATATGCTACTTCCTGCCAGGCTATCGATGATGACTGCAACCAAACAGGGCAGATGGTTGCTGGACTTCTCAAATGGCCTCAAGGAACCTTCGCCTCAAAGGTCTGAATCAGCTAAAGTATTGTGAGACGTAGACGCATTGTAAATTGGATGCATTTTGGAAGTTTGAATTTTCAATATTCTGTTTTTGAATGACTTTGTGAAGATTAAATGAGCATGAATGAAAAGATTTCAAGTTAAAATAGCTAGACCTCATACTAGCTCTAATTTTATTTTCTTTTTGTTAAGTAAAAAAATGTTTTATATGTTTTTATTGATTTTGATCAGCATTGATTACATCCTTTCAGATATCGTGTTATCATATATGTAGTTATAATAGATAGAAAGCTACAAAAATTGGTTAATCTGGTTTTAATGACATTTTCATTTCTAGCATCCTACTACACTAGTTCTTAAAGAGATTGTTAGATGACTACTGCTTTTGTAGTAACTTTAGCAATAACTGAGCTATCCTTGTTAATGCTACCTTTCGGAGACATCCCCTATTACAGTAAATTCAACTATTTGTTTTGATCATTCTATATTATTAATATTATTAATATTATTTTTTTTTCCTCATTTCTTCTTGTGACATGAAGATTTTATAGTGTGCTGGAGTAATGTCACCTACATATGATGGGGTTGGTTGTTAATAGCCTATTTTGGCAAGGAGCATGGAAAATAAATGTAGTTTGATAAGATTTATAACCTTTATAGAATGCTTTGCTAGTGCAGCTAGTGGCGGTTTCATATGTATTGTGCGATCCTATCTCATTACCAATTAAAGTGCTACTGATCGAAAAGTTGATATAAGGGATGGAGAACTTTCAAATAGCACTTAAAGCTCTGATTTATTATTTACATTTATGAATAGCAATGAGTTATTGATTTTGCTTATATTAAATGACCTTATTTGGAGTTGATATGTAGTTAGGTATCGACTTATTGGTTTCCCATCATTCAATATTCGTCATTCCATTTTAACAGGTTTTAATAAACATTTTTCTCCTAAATTGCAATCATTCCATTCACTTTCTCAGTAGTAACTTGTAAGTTGTAACTAGTTTATACTTACGCAACATCATGGTATGGTGAAGATTTTTCATTTTTTATTTTTGGCTCTGTCCACACTTGTCTATTTGTTATTTTATTTTTTACTATTATTTCGGTTTTCCTTATATTGTGAAACTTTAATCAAATTTTTTTTACTCCAAACGATGCAACAATAACAAAATCAAGCCTTTGCCCACTACGTGGGGTCGGCTATATGACTTCTTTGTCTCCATTGTGTTATTTTAAAAATCAAATTCTCATTTAAATATAATTATGAAAAAAATTATTTCTAATATTTTCTAACCAAGTCTTTTTAGGTCTACCTCTACTTTTCCTAATATAAGCTAAATCTAATACATCTACTCTCCTAACTGGGTCATCTGAAGGCCTTTGTTTTATGTGACCAAATCATCTAAGGCAACTCCCTCTAATCTTATCTATCACCAGAGCTACTCTAACATTTTCATGTATATGCTCGTTTCGTATTTTGTCTCTAGAGTAAAGCCACTCATCCACTTGAGCATTCTCATCTCTGCAGCACTTAACTTAATTTTATGCTTCTCTTTTTATGGTAAACATTCTACGTCATAAAGCATTGCAGATCTCACCATCATCTTTTAGAATTTTCCCTCAAGTTTGAGGGGTACTTTTCTATAACACAACAAGCCCGATGCATCCCGCCACTTCAACCGATATTAGACATTATTTCTCTGAACAATTAGCTATATATATTCTCTTTCTTTTGGTTTGTTAATTGCCTTTTATTTTTGTATCTTTTTGTTAGGTCATACTAAACAAGGAGAAACAGATAGCAACTGTGGAAAGAGAGGTCGATTCCGGCTTAGAAACCATCTGTCTTGATTTACCTGCCGTTATAACGTAAATTTCTTTTGCTTTTTATCCCTTTTAAGTACCTCATTTTGTTTTCTTTTTATGTAATAAGATATTGATATACCACATCTTAAAATATGAAAATTCGAAAATTAGATAATAATCATACACAATTCCTTGATCACAAACTAAATCCACACACTCTTTGAAAACCATCCACTCATTGAAAAACATATTATTATGATTTTTATTAAAATTAATTACTATCAACTATCACAAATATTTAGAATTAGAAAACAACTTGTAAGACTAATAGCGATGATGGTGATAATGAAAAATAATAAACAACTAGATGTGAAAAAATTCACCAATAATGGGCCTTACACTCATACAAGGAGAAAACTTTTTTCTAAAAATATTCAAGTCTCTCACATGATAATGAGTTGACTCTGAAAAGTGTTAGGAATATTGTATTTAACAGAATATTATCGAAGAATAAATTGATGTTTTTGTATATGTCTTGAAATCCTATTTATACTCATAAAGCTCTTTAGAGTTCCTTGTCTCTTTTATTTGCAGCAGGAACAAAATAAAATCACCAAAGATTTGATCATCAACAATAAAGGAAGAAATTCTACCAGAGTTAGATAATATTAGTGCGAAGGAGTGCAAAAAAAATCACTAAAGTATGTTTAGAGTGTTCACCAAAAAACTACTAAAGAAGGATATTTTCAACGAGCTGTAATATTATGCCAATTGATATCACTCCATTTCCTAAAGCTATAGAGGTCGCAACAGCCACCAAATATAAGTATTATAAAAGCTGGAGAAAAACTATGGAAGATGGTTTGCCAAGAATTTAATTAATTCCTGCATCCGGAATATATTAGTACAAATCAAGCTTTAATGATAGGTTAATCTCCTTGTTATGCACATATAAACTTTCACTAACATTAAAGGCCATATTAAAACTAAAAAAATATTAAAATTAAATTTGAATTAAAAGTTCATTTTTCAAAATTTTAATGACACAAACATATTGCATTTTTTATTTATGCAAACTTTGAGATTTCCATCAATTTTGCACGGTTTAGAAAAGTTTGGCTCTAACAGATTGCTTAGTTGATGTTCATCAAATGGATTTACACGAATCCTTACAAGTAGGTTTTGGGTGTCAACTATGGATAAATTTGAATCCAATATCCTTTTAAGTGTTGTGCAGGATAAGTGTTGTGAAGGATTAGATGTTAAGCACTAGGAGAAGTAGAGCAACAAAATAGGGATAGATCCATGAACTTGGAGAATCAAGAATTCGTAATCAACTGACAGGTTGTGGAGATGGAGGGAGGATCAAGCATTGATCCAAAGAGCTTTGGAGTGGGTCCTCAAGGCTAGTTTGATGGAAGAGATGCTAGAAAGATCTTAAAATTCTGTGATCTAAAGAGCACGATCAAGTGATAAAGCATTGACCATACGCATGCCATGGATGAGACCTACTACCTTAGTAGTGAGAAGGAATGTATTCCCCCAAAGAGGTGAGCGAGGGGGTGAGCGCCTCAGTTGAGGAGCATATTCTTTAGGGAGATCACATAAGCTAAGTTTTTATCAAAGTTCAAGATTTCTTACAAGGAATCATATGGTGGAAGGACGGATCCAACCAACCATGTGACCTACTTTGGCCACCTCATTGCTTGACATCAACAATGCGATGATGTGCTGTTCGTTTTTCACCACCTTTAAGTATTCATCTCTCCTATAGTTCTCGAGCTTCTGATGGAACTTGAGTTGCAAAAATTCGGAATCCAGGGAAAACAGCCCAAAAACAGTGGAAAAATGGAGGATTTCTTGGATGGAAACACTCACAAGTACTTTGATTACTTAAATATCAAAAGACTTACAAGTTTCCACGAATACAATGCTCTCAATTCGAGAAGAGAAGCTTTCTCCCAAGCCCTAGATTAGAAGAAAGCTAAAACAGCCACCAAAACAAGATCCCTCTCAAACCAACCCTAACTCCCTTTTAACCCTCACATGATCCCCCCAAAATACCCTAATTACCCCTAGGGCAAACAAAACAAACTCCCTCTTACATTTGGTGGGCCCCTTGGGCCCACCCGCCTCCTCCCTCTCCTTTGGCCGAACGCCCAGGCGGGCGTTTTCTCCGCCTGCGATAGGCGAGAACCGGCCCCTTGTGGGCCGGTGCGGATGCGGGATGGACCGGGCGGTCCGGTCCATCATCACTCCCCGCCCAAAGATTAACCTTGTCCTCAAGGTTGAAAGCAGGAAACTGGGCTTGTATGTTCTCATAGGCCTCCCAAGTAGCGTCATGTGCCGGTAGATCTTTCCACTCAATCAAAACTTCTTTCCCTCCTTCCTCAGTGGGTCTAACCCCTTTCAATGAAGAAGGCTCTAATAGGCTTGTACCCTCTTCAGACAATGTTGGTGGTAAAGTATCGACTGGTACAGAATCTCCCTTGAACTTCTTTAACTGTGACACATGAAAGACTGGATGAATCGTAGTAGTGGGTGGTAACTTCAGGCGATATGCTACATTCCCAATCTTCTACTCTACCTCATAGGGACCATAATACCTTGAGGCCAACTTAACACTTAGCCTCCTTGCTAAAGTATTCTGCCTGGAAGGCCTCAACTTCAAGTATACAAATTCCCCAATATCAAAATGAACATCCTTCCTATGATGATCTGCTGCCTGCTTCATGATGTTCTGGGCTCGTAACAAGTGTTTCTTCAGCTCCCCCAAGATCTCATCCCTTTCTGACAACTGTTGCTCCACCAAGGACACTGATGTAGAATGAGGCTTGTACTGTATCAGGGTTGGAGGATCCCTTCCATAAAGCACCTTGAAAGGTGTGACCTGCGCCGCCTTGTGAAATGAAGTGTTATACCAATATTCAGCCCCAGGTAGCCACCTTACCCAATGCTTGGGCTTCTCCCCTGCAAAACATCTAAGGTAAGTCTCGACACTTCTATTAACTACCTCAGATTGCCCATTTGTCTGTGGATGGTAGACTGAACTGCGCTTCAAATGTGTCTCTTGTAACTTGAACATCTCCTTCCAAAAGTGACTCAGGAACACTTTATCTCTGTCAGAGACTATCGACTCAGGAAAGCCATGAAGCCTCACAATCTCTCGGATGAAAACTGCTGCAACGGTAGTGGCATTAAAAGGGTGTCTCAAGGGTATGAAATGAGCATACTTACTAAGCCGGTCAACTACAACTAGAATGAGAGTGTAGCCTTCCGACTTGGGTAAGCCTTCGATGAAGTCCATAGTCACCTTTGACCAAACCTGATCAGGTAACTCAAGTGGTTGCAACAGTCCCCCAGGGGCACAAGCTTGGTACTTGTTCCTCTGACAAGTATCACACTGGGCCACCATTTCCTCCACATCCTTCCTCATCCCCTTCCAGTATATCTCTCTAGCCAATCTCTGATAAGTCTTCTGCCCTCCTGAATGTCCTCCAATAGCACTGGCATGAAACTCCTGAAGTATCAGTGGAATCTGGGAAGAGGTCCTAGGTAAAACTAACCTTCCTCTGTGTAGCAAAAGCTGATCCTCCATTGTATATCCTGAGGGTATTTCCTCCCCCTTCCTTATGGCCTCTCTGAAGCTCCCCAATTCTTCACTAGTCATATTTTCTGTCCTCAAATTCCCCCAATCCACTAACTGAGGCACAGATGTAGCAATAAGTTGAGAGCACTCCACCTTCCTGGATAAGGCATCAGCAGCTTTGTTCTCCAATCCTGGTTTGTACTGAATCTCGAAATCATAGCCCAATAGTTTGGAGAGCCATCTCTGATGTTCTTCTGTCACCATGCGTTGCTCCAACAGATATTTTAGACTCCTTTGATCAGTCCTCACAAGGAATCTTCTACCCAACAAGTACGGTCGCCACTTCTGAATGGCCTTAACAATGGCCATCAGTTCTCTTTCATAGACAGATTTGAGCTTTGCCCTCCCTGATAACACCTGACTGTAGAAAGCTATGGGTCGCCCTTGCTGCATGAGAACCGCTCCTAACCCCAAACCAGATGCATCAGTTTCCACCACCAGCTGCTGCCCGAAATTCGGTAATGCTAACACCGGTGCACTAACCATAGCACTTTTCAAAGCCTCCATAGCGCTATCTGCCTTCGGTCCCCAATTGAAGCTGTCTTTCTTGAACTGCTCAGTGAGTGGAGCTGCAATAGATCCATACCCTTTTATGAACTTCCGGTAGTAATCTGTGAGTCCCAAGAAGCCCCGGAGAGCCCGAAGGTTCTTAGGAGTTGGCCAGCTCGTCATGGCCTCCACCTTGGAAGGGTCAGCTGCTACTCCTTCTGCTGAGATAATGTGCCCCAAATATTCCACACTTCCTTGAGCAAAAGAACACTTTTTCTGATTGACATACAACTGATGATGTTGTAAAGTGCTCAAAACCTCCCTCAAGTGCTCCAAGTGTTCCTGTAGGGACCTGCTATTGATCAAAATATCATCAAAAAACACTAGAACAAATCTCCTCAACATGAGTCAAAACACTTGGTTCATCAGAGCCTGAAATGTAGAATGTGCGTTGATGAGTCCAAACGGCATAACCAAGAACTCGTAGTGTCCCTCATGAGTCCTGAAAGCAGTCTTGGGAATGTCCTCCCTCCTCATCCGGATCTGGTGATACCCTGACTTCAAATCAAGCTTGGAGAACATTGTAGCACCCCCCAACTCATCAAGAAGCTCATCAATAACGGGGATTGGAAATTTGTCTAAAACAGTCTCCTTGTTGAGAGCCCAATAATCAACACAAAATCGCCAGCTACCGTCCTTCTTCTTTACTAATAGTACTGGGCTCGAAAAAGGGCTCACACTAGGTTGGATGATCCCCGCCTCCATCATCTCCCTGACTAGCTTCTCAATCTCCTCCTTCTGAGCATGAGGATATCGGTATGGCCGCACACTAACTGGATCTGCTCCCCCCTTTAGTACAATGGCGTGCTCCTTGCTTCTCTGTGGTGGCAGCCCTGCTGGCAGCTGAAAAACTGGGGCGAAATGCTCCAACAACTCTCCCACCTCTTCTGGAATATTACTCTGCTCAACTGGCTCACTACC